AATGTCAGGCCCCTTCTCCATCCACAACACGAGAGACAGCGTGGCGGAATGGCTCTAGCGCAGGGTTCAAATTTCTCCTCCATAAGAACATAAGAGCCTGGAAGGTCAGGCCAATGGCCCATCTTCCCAGCATCCTCTTCTCACAGTGGCCAACCAGATACCTCTTCTGGGAAACCCGCAAGCAGGATTTGAACACAAGAGCATTCTCCCCTCCTGTGGCTTCCAGCAACTGGTATTCGGAAGCACTGCTGCCTCCAACTGGTAGCCATTGATAGCCCTCTCCTGCTCCATCACTTTGCCTAATCCTCTTTGAAAACCAACTGAGTTTGGTGGCGATCACACCCTCTTGTGGGAGGGAGTTCCATAGACAATGTGCTTTGTGAAGAGGGACTTTCAGGGTGGCCGTAGTCCAGCTGTAGTTGCTCAGCCTGGCCTACTTCACAAGGCTGTTGGGAGGCAAAAGCAGGTTGTTGTGGAGGAAGGACTGGATGAAACACTTGGAGAATTGTGGGGTTTGTTTGGTTTTGCAATCAATAAATTCCTCGAAATAAATAAAGATAACAAGCAAGTGGTGGTGGGAGGAGGAAATCCTGATGGTGATGACGTATCGCCTCACAAGGCTTTTCCCTTGGCACCCCCATTATGGGCTATGGAGAAAAGGAGGGCTGAACTCCACAGTCTCTGGTGGTGAGGGATCTCCAGCCTGTGATCTTAGTTAACGACGTCTCCCCTTTTGGCTGGTGAGGACATTCTGGCTAACCCATATATGATGTTTATTCTGCCTTGGAAAACCCACCTGGAGCATATCTACACACAGGAAAACCCACTATAAATAAATCAGAAATTAAATTGTTATAATAAAGAAAAAGAAAAACACTATGTAAAATCGCATAGGAATTGTTTCTTGCTCTCCAGTGCCCTCTGGTGTTGCATGTTTATAACACATTCAAAACACTGTTTTTTTTACCAATGTAGCTGAGTCCCTGGAGTCCAGTTCTGGGCACCCCAATTTGAGAAGTATGTCGACAAGCTAGAAGGTGTGCAGAGGACGGTGACCAAGAGGTTCGAAGGCTCAGAAGCCAAGTCTTGTGAGGGAATTGGGGGTGCTTAGACTGGAGAAGAGAAAACTGAGATGGGACCTAAGAGCCATCTACAAGTATTGGAAGGGATGTCGCATGGAAGATGGGGCCATATCCTCCAACAAAATCAAAATCCAGAACGCCATCTTTCCAGATGCTGTCTTCCCGCTTTTTATCACAAGAGCACAGCGGCCATTTTGGTTGGCATGGTTTGTCAGACACAGTGCCCCAAAACATGTGTTTTGGGGTCACTTGAACCCTGGCATCTCCCAGGTGCAGCCTGGCACTCTAACCACTCTGCCATACTGTCTATCTTAAGATAAGGCTCTGGCCTGGTTTGCATATCATAGAAAGTCCACCTATTTATTTATTTAATGCATTTATATTGCCCCCTTTTCTCCAAGTATCTCAAGCTGTTGTGCACGCCTCATCCTCCCCCCTTAACCCCCATGGCACCCCTGTGAAGTAGGTTGGGCCAGTGAGGTAGTCACACCCAGTGAGCTTTGTGGCTAAGAAATAGAGATACAAACCTTGAGATCTTAGCCCAACATGCTGATCACTGTGCCACACTGCCTCTCAGCCATCGCTTCTACATGTGGCAGGGAGTTCCGTAAATGAATGGCTGCATCCTTTGCTCATTCTGAAGCAACCAAATGGACTTTGCTGAGTGCCTGCGAGCTCTGGCGTTTGGGCAAGTCTCCTGAGGCAGGGAGTTCCATAAGTGAACGGATGCATCACATTAGGAAAAGAGGCTTTCTTTGCCTTGTTGAGTGCCTGCAAGCTCTGGCCTTCTGAGAAATCTGCTCCCCGCCTGCCACCTTGTTCATGTAGGGAGAAGGAGGCCCACGTCTCTTCCTGTCTCCTCCACTGTGCCCGACAGTTTGGCGCAGGCGCCTAGGTGTGGCTGGGGAAACGGGCAGGCCCCTGCCCAGCTGCCTGAGCCAATGCCACTGGAAAGTCTTATTCTGCCCGGCGGAGGGCTGCTGTGTTTTTCCAACCCTGCAAATATTCTGGGGCTCAGATTGCCAGGCCTCCTCAGGGAAGTCGGCTGAGGAAACTGTCCGATATTTGCAGGGTGTGGCTTCCCAAATGTCTGATATTTGGTTTCTCTCTTTCTCAGTTGAAAATCGCTGGTAGGATGCTCCGTTCTTGAGCCCTGAAGCCCTTGTTTCTAAAGAAAACTTGCTCTCAGAGGAGTCTGCTCTCTGGGTTTCTGCCGGAGTCACTGCTCTGGGTGTGCAGCAGAGGGGTGCAGCGGTTTTGCCTGGGGTGGAAGGGCCCAATTGCAGCTGATGCAGAGTAGCAACGAAATTACTGATTCAAAGGAAGAGAGCCCAGACCAGTGAATCATGCAGGTTTGCAACAGGCAGCCTCCTCCGGATCAGGTGTGATGGAATGATCCTATTATGACCCAAACAGCAACCTCCTCTGAGATGGGGATGGATGCATTTGTCATCTTTCGATTTTAATTCTTCTTAAATTCAGTTTGCCACCTTTCTGTATCGGTTTGCATATTTTTAAAAAAAATAGCTCTCATGGAAATTAATCAGTACCTGGCGTTCAAGTCACTGATGGTCACCTGCCTATAGATCCTTTCCAAATGTTTTCTGTCTATCCTGAAACTCCTGCTAGCTTCGTGCCACATCCAAGTATTTCTGAGATAAGAAGCAAACATTCCTCTCTACACCTTAAATAAAGTTTTGTAGAGATCGAAGGGAACCCCAAGGGACATCTAGTCCAACCCTTGCAATGCAGGAATCACAGCTAATGAACCCCTCACAGATGGCCATCCGTCCTCTTGTTTGAAGGCACTGAGATGAACCTTTTTTAAAAATCCCGTCCAACAACCTGGCTAATGTCTTCCAAATGCTGACATCCTGAAAATGATGGGATCTGGCGAATAAATTTGCCAGACGGGGGTGGGAGGGGGCAGGGAAGGCACCCATTTCTGGCATCGAGGAAAAAAGTCAACAAAATACAGGCTTTCTAGGAGGCTGGGAAGAACAATTCCTTGGAAGCAAAAGGTTCCAGAAATTCTTGAGTGGGGAATTCTGCGCCCCATGCCAGATTTCTGTGGATGGGGGGTTATAGCCATCTGTCTCCTCTATATGTGACCCTACACATAGTGGGGGAGCAGTCCTACTCTATCTGCCACTGCTGCCCACACCAAGGTGGGTGGCATAGCAAGGGATGGGACTCTATCAAAGGTAACACCTGGTTTCTGGGGCCTAGAATGAAGATTTTATGAGCATCTTGAAGATGGCAAGAGTTCTCCTGAGCATATACAAACCGTGCTTCAGTCATTATGGTCAGGTATGCACGAGGCTTCTCTACTCCACCTTCTGTAGCAGGATGGAGAGATACTCTTCTTCTAGGGTCTGTCCCTGAGCATGTGCAGAGAGCATTTCAGTCACCAATGTGAGAAGGAACATCATTTGGAAGGATCATCTCCAATCCTGCCATCTCCTAACCACCTTCTTCATTACAGATTTCCTTGTAGTCGGTTCTACTAGGAAATTTGTCAACGTGTTGATGGATGTACCCATTTCACAGAAGGGCAACTGAAGCCAAGAGAGTTGCCCAGCACTTTGTGGTGAATGCAGCAGGGCAAGACATCTTGAAATTCACCACCTACGTCCCCAAGATGTTTGGGTCTCTCTCACTGCCCTGAAGGTGGGGGGGGGAGGGGATAAATTCTGCAGGCGAGACTATCTAATTCGCACGTTCCCAAACAACCTGAGAACCGAACCTTTGACATATGCACTTCTCCGAATTTTGCAATGCAGTTCTCCAGCCAAGTAACAAAAATGCATTCTTGTTAAGCAAAGTGTGCCTAACATTGCATGTATTAGCAAAAAGAACATGCCCAAAATGCATTATGTTATGTGAAACCGTTTTGCAAAAAAAACACCCCCGCATAGAGCCAGGCCAAAAATTGCATGCAACAAACTGCATGTAACTGTGTGCATTCGGAGCTGACGAATTCTCGTGAGGGCTTTTCGGAATAAATAAACAAATTGCAAACCGATGTGGAAACATGCAGAAGCAGACTGGGGGACTGGAAGAACAAGGACCTGAAATGGGCAGGTTTATCTGTGCCACTCCGCCTTTGCAAATGTGGCAACGAGAGCATTGGTGCTGTTGTTTTGCTAAAGGTCAGGGGTCCGCGACCCCCTTGGCTCAGGGCCACTTTCAGGCCACGGCTCCCTGTGTTGCAGAGCACCGGTCCAGGTGTAGGATGTCTGAGCACAAACAAAACTGAAGCAACCGCTTAGCGGGGGCTGGCTGGCTGCGGCCCAGGGGTTCAGCTGCTCAGAGCTGGAACCCTTTGGAGATAGCTTATCTCCAGACTCTCCAACTTAATTTCCGCCACCTTCCCCCACCCCTGCTCTCTCCTCCACCCCACCCTTAGTCCTGTCTGTTCGGCGGGGACCCGTTTCCATCCAGGCTCCCATCCTCAGGGCCCCTCACATTCCATTCCAAGACACCCCCCGCTTCCAAAACCCATTCCGACGAGGGACCCTTGTCCCCCTCGCTTAAGTCCCACAACCTGACTGCCTCCTGGCCCGTTCTCTTGGCCTCAGGCCTTGATGTCCTGCATTGGTCCGGGGCATCTGATTCGGCCAGAACTTTATCCCCCTCCCTAAAAGGAGGGGGGGAGCCGCCTTACCAATCTGGATCCCCCCTCCCTCCAGCTCCCTCCCCCTTTTCCTGAAATCTCTCTTGGCAGCAGAGCTTGCTTTTGGCAACAGATCCCACCCGCGCTGGGGAGAGAGAAATTACAAAGGCAAGCCAGGCTCTTGGAGAGAGAGAGATCCGTCTGTGTGTGTGTGTGTGTGTGTGTGTGTGTGTGTGTGTGTGTGTGTGTGTGTGTGTGCCCCCTCTCCCAATGACGTAGTGTCCTGAGCCTTGTCCCCTCCCCTCATCCCTCCCCTCTCTCCCCCCCCCTTTTACATCCTTGGAAGCCGCAATTAAGCAGCTCCGCTAGGATAAAACACTCCGGCAGCCAGCGGGCTGGGGCATTGCGTCGAGAGAGATGGCCAGGCTACGGACTCCTTCCTTCCTTCCCGGGGCTGTCACTGTCCTCCTGCTCTTCAGTCTCCCGGCTTCGTGGCAAGGAGGTAAGAGGCAGCGGGAGCAGCAGAGAAGGCTCAGGACGAAAACCGCAGACAGCCTCTGACCAGATGCTTCCCCCCCCCCGGCCCTGGAAGGGGTCATCGAGCCGCCTCGCTTCCAAGCCATCTGCGGCGGAGGCTGTTCCGCCTGGGCAATCGGGGCACCTGACCTCCGCCTGCACCCATCTTTTTGCTTTCTTGCAACAGGCCACTGGCTGTCACAGCCTCCCCTCTGAGGTGCACTTGTAGAACACGGCAAGGAGCAGGATGGGGGGCAAGACTGAGAGGAGTCACCTCTGCCTCCCTCTGCTGTGGGTCTCTCCAGCTCCTGCCCCACTGGTGGGCACCTGCCGCCGCACCTTTTAAAAACTCAGTGCCTGCCCCCCCTCCGGAGCAAGACTCACTGCTCCAAATCTCAGACATGCTGCAGGGACCAATATCTCTACTCCCTGCTTGTTGGTGACAAGGGGCAAAAGTCTGGAGCCCTCACCATCTTCAGGGTCTCTGAAGGTGGCTGAGGTGCTGCCTGCCCACAGGGAGTCACTAACATTACCATTGACAAACTTTAAGGGTCTATCGTGGTGGTTGAATGGAAGGGGGGCAGGATATGAAGCCAGTGGACTACAGGAGAGGCTTAACTGAATCCCCAGAAGGTGTTTGCCAAACACCAAACCTCAGCCCCTCAGATGGTACAAGCATGTAATGCAGTGTTTCTGAGCATGTGCAGAGTGCATTGAGGAGCCATAGTGGTGCTTTGGGGATTGGGGCACAGAACGTCGGGGTAAAAAGGGTTCCTCTTGAACCCCAACATTTACTTTCATCTTCTTTGGTGTTGGGGGGGGAGTTAGCTCCCCGCTTGCCCCCCACAAGTGAGTTTAGTTTGGTTGTTGCTCAAGAATTAGCTGTGGTTCCTGCTTTGCAGGGAGTTGGACTAGTTGAGTCGCTGTGTCCCTCCCAGCTCTACAATCCTATGATTTATTGCATGTCAGAAGGATGTGCCACCTGCACAGCCCACACAATTTGCACAGGTCGCTCTCCTGTGGTGACGCCGTGGCTCTCCCCGGGCGACCACAGATGCTTTGCCCAGTTGGAGGGCAAAGGGAAGCCCATGGGGAGCAGGAGGGCAGGATCCGAGTGAGGTTCCTGCCTTGCACCCGATCCAAAAAGGGGAAGCAGGCAGGAGAAGTGGGTCATGCCCATAGGTTCCCATGGGGTTCATCAGAAGGGACGCCCCCATCCCGGACGCCTTTGCCCCATCTCTGGGAACACCGCCGTCCCGCCAAACAGCCGTCGCCTCTGCCTGCAACTTGGGTGTCCTCTTGGAAAACATGCTCTTCCCGGGTTTTGAACACAGCAAGAGGCATTAATGAAACACACTCTCTTGCTTTTCTATTTTGGCATTCCCCGAGAGATCGTACTGTCTCCCCTTGCCGCCCTCAGGAACTGTCATCGCTTCAGTCCAAGCATGTGGGGTGACGGCTTGAGGATCCCATTTTAAAAAAAAAATCTCTTTGGGAAGATTCAGATCTGATAGGCTGGAAGAATTCCCCATCTCTGGGTCAAACTAGACAATGACCTGCTGTTCAGAAGGCTGGGCTTTCTCACTCCAGCAACCTGCTTGACAGATTGTGTCTGCATCCAGTAGGGGAAGGATTGCCTAGGGCTCAAATGTTGGGACCTGGGTGAAGAAAGGCACCCAAAGATCGCCACGGTCAGGGCTGGGGAGCTGGTGACCCCATAGACATTGCAGGACTCCAACTCTCATTATTCCCCATCATTGGCTGCTGGGAGTTGGAGTCCGACAGGGTCTGTAGGGGCCGGGGGTGGCAGCCTGACAACCTTTGTGACATCATGGGGGAACCTGTGAGGTAGCTGTGATGGGTGAAGCAGGCCCACTCAAGTTAAGAGAGGGTCAGACTAGATGACCGTTGGTACCCCTTCCAATTCTGTGATTCTATGTCCCACTTCCATGGGACAAGAAGCATTCCTCCTATTCTCTCTCTTGAAGTGAACTACAGGAACGCACAAGCTCCGTCACCATCTATTCCTTCCGATCGGTTTTTTCCACGCTGGTAGACCGAAGTCATTTTGCTGCGAGAGTCCATTTATTTATTTCCTTCCTTATCACAATGGTACCTTGTTTCTCAGACTTAATCTGTTCCGGGAGTCCATTCAACTCCTGGAACAGTTCGAAAACCAAGGCACAGCTTCCAATTGGCTGCAGGAGCTTCCTGCATTCAAGCAGAAGCTGTGGAAGCCACGTTGGACGTTCGGCTTCCAAAAAATGTTCGCAAACCACAACACTCACTTCTGGGTTTGCGGTGTTCGGGAGCTGATTTGTTTGGGAGCCAAGCTGTTTGAGTACCAAGGCACCACTGGAAATTTATATCTTGCCCCATCCTCCCAAAGGAGCCCAGGGTGGGGGTGAGAAGGTGGTCCCCAAATTCACAGAGAGACCCTGACTGGACGGGCAGCGGGATCCTTCTGTGGAGTGAGGCAGCTGGCTCAGGCTGCAGGCAGCAGTGCCCCAACCCCTCTGCCAAGCCCCCTAAGCTAGCCCTTACTCTGCACCCCCTAAGCCACCCTGCTGCCTCGGGAAGAGCTGAGGATCTTGTCGAAATAAGTCATTCATCAGTCCAGTCAGATTCTGTCAGGGCCACTGGGACAGGGCAGAGATCTTGCCCTCCAGCCCTTTGCCTCAGGTGGTAAAACGTCATCACCAAGAACCCCATTACCGCCAGCAAGTCAGCTGAGAGGGCAGGGGTGGCCAAGCTGCTTGGTGTGCCCAACTGGTTCCTTCATCACCTTGCCACCATTCAGTGCTTCCCTGCCACCAGAAGCAGCCTCCTCTTCCTTTTGCCCAACAGCAGAGCCGGCCCCGATGCCACCGGGAAACTCCTGGCTGGAGCTGGGGGGGGGCCTTTGCATGTTCGCTGTTCAGGCTGCCTTGTACGAATTGCTGCAAGTGTGGCAGGTCTGGGAGGCAGGGAATTTGGAGTATGCAAAGAAGGTGCCAATTGGGATTGCTCCCGAGTATGGCTGTGCATGCATAAGGGTCCCATGTTCTGTCCCCAGCTGGGAGAGACCCCTGCCTGAACCCCTAGAGAGCAGCTGCCGGTCAGTGCAGACTGTCCTGAGCCACATGGACCAAAGGTTTGACTTGGTAGAAGGCAGATTCCTGCCTTCCCATGAAATAAGTTGGATTTCCCCCCTCCGCTTTTCCTGGGCGCTCCTGGGATGTAACCAGAAAGTCAGCCTGGATAGCTTAGTAAGTTGGCTACAGCACGGTGCTGAGAATGCGAAGGTTCCAGGTTTGATCCCCGTACGGGGCAGCTGCATATTCCTGCACTGCAGAGGGTTCGACTGGATGGTCCTCAGGGTTCTTCCAGCTCTACGGTTCTATGAAATAGCATCCATGAAATAGTTTGAAGGTTCAGGACCCTCAGGCCCACGATATGGATTAATTTCTGGGCATATGAAGATGGCTGCTGGCTGGGTTCTCAACAGCAGTTTATAGAAGCCCCTAAGCACCTCTCAAGGAAAGGGAAAATTGTGACTAAAAAGTGGGGGCAGCAGTGGCGTAGCGTGGGGGGTGCAAGGGGGGCCGGCCGCACCGGGCGCAACATCTGGGGTTAGGGCAAATCCACAGGTTAGGGGGCGCAAATCCACGGGTTAGGGGGCGCAAATTACTTGCCTTGCCCCGGGTGCTGACAACCCACGCTACGCCACTGGGGGGCAGGAAATCTGGGACCCGGGGCTTGGTCGCCGCTAACAACACCCCTGTATTTCGCCACCATTCCTCCGACAGACGCTTCTCCATAAATATTTATCAGGGAGAAATTGTCTCTGAAAGCCAGAGCCATGCCTGCACTTTTTTGTCCTTCCTACAAAGGTGTGTCCGTTATGAGAGACTAGATGCCCCTTTGGGTCCCTTCCAACTCTACAGTTCAGCTATTTCCTCCTGCCTAAACAGGAGTTCTGTGCACAAAAGATCTCATGAGAGTTGGCAGAGCTCTGATTTCCCCTTCTTTCATTCCTGGAAGGGAAACAGCCACAGAAAGGGGAAGCGGGCTCCCCAATAGCTCTTTTCCTAGTCGCCAGGGGTGAGCCGAGATTGCCTGCTGGTTGACCACAGCTTGCAAATGATCAAGAGGGTGGTTTCTCGTTATGAGGTGCTAGAGTGCCTAGAGATCCCTAACAGTGGCCAGTAAATTCTTTTGGTAATGACAAAAATGGGCCGTTTTTTGTTTTTAACACAAGCTAGTATTCTCTTCTGTGGTCAGAAGGTCAGTTTATGTCTGTAATTCCTACTCTGTGTTGCTTTAGGCAGTGGTTAAATTGGATTTAACTTTCCCCTCTCACACAGACACCCATTCAAAACCCAGAAAAAGACCACCACATTTTCCTATACATTAAGGATCCTCAAGGCCTTTTCACACCCACCCGCCGTGTTCCGAAGTGAGCTCCAATGAATTAAATTGTGGAGCTCTCTCCCCCTGGAGGCAGTGACCCGCCACCAATATGGATGGCTTTGGAATGGAGAAATTCACAAACTATTGGTGGTTACTAGTCATGATGGCTTTTTTCTGCCTCCACAGTTGGAGGCAGCAATGCTTTTGAGTAACAATTCCTGGAAAACACAGCAGGGAAGAACGCTCTTGTGCTTTAAACGCTGCCTCTAAAAGTGCTCTGATGTCTTTTAATTATTGCTTTCCGCTAGTTTGCTTTCGTTACTTTGCCTTTGATAGGTTGGACGCCGCCTCGAATCCATGCTCTGGAGAAAGGCAGAGAGTCCAAATAAATTTAAAAGATAATAACTTGCAAATGCACCCACCCCCACCAGAAAGGACCCAGATTTGCATAAAATGTGCACCTGCTGATTGTTATGCATGGATGAAAATTTAGGGACAATGACTGTAGTTTCAGAAGAAATTCAATAATCTCACCCCAGTGGCCAAGTTCGCTGAGCCTGCAAGCTTAACCAGCTGCCCAGGTGCTAATGACTG